ATTGGGGATTAGGGTTTCAACTTATGAATCCGAGGGGACACACACATGCAGTCCATAGCACTCATCTTTTCTCCTACTCTGCCCCCAGCCTATCACTTTACAGTTGGCCCTCCATGTGTGCAGTTCTGCAGCCACAGATTCAACCCCCTGGGAATCAGGTGATACTGTAGTATGTATCTGGTGAAAGAAATCCACACATAAGTGGACTCGTGCAGTTCAAACCCATGCTGTTCAAGGGTCAACTGTATAGACATATATATATATAAAATGTATACAACTTTTCATGTGCTTCCATAGTACCCTATAATTCCTTATCATAGTACTTAACACATTGATTCATAATTGCCTATTCATTTGTCCAGATCCCCCACAATGATCTGTCAGGACAATGATTGTGTCTAGTTCACTACTGTATCCCCAGTACCTTGCATGATTCCTGCACATCAATAATCACTGAAGAATGCAGACACAGTTAATTTCCATCTAAAATTGATTCCGCTTCTCCTCCAGGATGTTGCTGTATCTGATGGAGCCCCTGGAACCGTGGCCACTCTGGCCATTATCAGGGAAGCTAACCCGGGAAAGACAGAATAAGCAGAAGACAGGAAGAACCGGGTCTTTCAAGAACTCATTGAGGGGCTTCCCTGGTGGCGCAGTGGTCAAGATCTGCCTGTCAATGCAGGGGACACGGGTTCGAGCCCTGGTCCAGGAAGATCCCACATGCTGTGGAGCAACTAAGCCCGTGCGCCACAACTACTGAGCCTGCGCTCTAGAGCCCACGAGCCACAACTACCGAGCCCGTGAGCCACAACTACTGAAGCCCACGTGCCTAGAGCCTGTGCTCCGCAACAAGAGAAGCCACCACAATGAGAAGCCTACACACTGCAACAAAGAGTAGCCTCCGCTGGCCGCAACTAGAGAAAAGCCCTCGTGCAGCAATGAAGACCCAACGCAGCCAAAAATAAATTAAAAAAAAAAAAAAAGGCATTGAGCTAATGACTTAACCAACTCTGGGTCAAACTACACTCAGACTTCTGGCTATATGAGAGAATAAACACCCTTATTGTTGCTGCTGTTTGAGTTATAAAGCATCACCAGTGAGAGGTTGAGGGAACAAATGAATGAATGACTCTGAATGGAGTTAAAGTCTTGTCCCGGAGACTTCAAAAACTGCTTACTGTTCTTAAGATACACAAGGTGATAAGACAACAAAGTCTTGATTATCTGGAAGTTAGCTTATTATGGTTTTCCAGATAAACTGTGCTTTTAGTCAAAAGCTGCACTTTGCAAGGGAAAAGAATCTCTTATTAGGGCTTCATTTAAAAACAAAGATAATATTCTCAGAGATGTTTCAGAGTCAATACACATTCAGTCCAATCTCCTAAATGTTAGCACATGTAATCATAACTTGGAGACCTGTTAAAAAGCTGACTCCTGGGCCTCACCTGGGGAGATTCTGATTCAGTGGGATGTGGTGGGGTCCTGGAATCTGCATTTTAGCCAGCAATCTGATGTGGATGGTCTCAGACCACACTTCAAGAAACCCTATTCTTTTTTTTTAAAATAAATTTATTTATTTTATTTATTTATTTCTTTGGCTGAGCTGGGGCTCTGTTGCTGCGCGCAGGCTTTCTCTAGTTGTGGCGAGCAGGGACTACTCTTCATCACTGTGCGTGGGCTTCTCATTGCGGCGGCTTCTCTTGTTGTGGAGCATGGGCTCTGGGCACGTGGGCTTAAGTAGCTGTGGCACACGGGCTCAGTAGTTGTGGCATGCGGGCTCAGTAGTTGTGGCTCATGAGCCTAGTTGCTCCGCGGCATGTGGGATCTTCCCAGACCAGGGCTCGAACCCGTATCCCCTGCATTGGCAGGTGGATTCTAAAGCACTGCACCACCAGGGAAGCCCAAGAAACCCTATTCTAAAGCTTGCACTTCATATCTCTAGAACCTAACCACAAGATATGGTGTTTCACACAATAATCAAGGGAGCAGATTCAAGTGATGGAAAGATCCAGAAAATGGGAGCCATATCTGGGCTTCTCTATTCACCAGAATAAGACGCTGATCAGGCAAGTCTCCCAAGCTCTCTCTGTCTGAATGACCCCATTTATTAAAAACAACGCAGATTAATAGTTCTCTGTATTGCCACCCCTCAGACTGGTTGTGAAGACCAGATGATCTCAGTAGTTGTACTGTACAAATATAATAAAATGCTCTTTGTTAGGACTCTGGTGTTTACTGAGCTCCTTAATAAGTAAAATTATTTGTGTTCCTTAGGCTATTTATTAAGCAAGAAGTGGGGACTCACATTTTAGAAAGATTGTTTCATGGTCAAACTGTAAAAGGGATTTTGCTTAATTTCCAGCACTGAGTACTTGTAAACCAGAACATCCTATTCCTAAGCATTCTAACTAGGTTTTTATGTAAATAATATACATTTATTAACAGTAATTCATGAGTAGACTCCCTATCAAAGGGAGCTTCCTTGACTTGTGCAAAAATTAATGGGCCCAACAACCCACAGAATTGGAGAAAATATTTTCAAATCATGTATCTGATAAGGGATAATATCCAGAGTACACAGAGAACACCTAAAACTCAACAACAACAAAAAGCCCCAATTCAAAAATAGGCAAAGGATTTCAACAGACATTTCTCCAAAGAAGATATAGGTATGGCCAAAAAGTACATGAAAAGACGTTCAACATCATTAATCAACAGGTAAATGCAAATCAAAACTACAATGAGATACCACCTTACAACCATTAGGACGACTACTGTCAAAAAATCAAAATAGAAGGCAACAAGTACTGGTACAGCCACTGTGGAACAATATGGCAACTCAAAAATTAAACACAGAATTACCATACAATCCAGCAATTCCACTTCTGGGTATATGCCAAAAGAATTAAAAGGGTCTCAGAAAGATACTGGTACACCCATGTTTATAGCAGAATTATTCACAATAGCTAAAACATAGAAGCCACTCAAGGGTCCATGGATGGATAAATGGATAAGCAAAATGTGGTACATAAAATGGAATATTATCCAGACTTAGAAAGGAAAAGTAATCAATATCAAAATTATTAATGAGGTATTCTGCATTCTCTTTTTTGTACTGTCTTTGAAATCCAGTGTGTGTTTTACACCTAAGGTATGTCTCAGTTTGGACTAGCCACATACCAGTAGCTAGAAGCTATTGTGTAAGAGAGTACAAGTCTAGACAATTCATTTTTGAAGCCTAATGCAAACAGCCTCTATTTTGACTTTTACATTTACTTGAATATTTGAGCCTCTGTCTACATTCTTCCTTCCTTCATTGTTCAGCAAACACTGGCATGCCCACTATGCACCAAGCATTATGCTAGAAACTAGAAATACAAAAGTGGACATTTTATCCTAAAGCTCAGTCTGTGAGGGTGAGAGACACCCAGAGATGATTATGAAATAATGTAAAAGAATCATGACATAGACACCATTTTATGAGCACTTGAAAGAAGAAGGAAGTGCCGTAAATGTAGTTTTAGAGGTGTCCCTGAGTTGACTTCAAGGACCTGTAATGTTAGCTCTATGATGAGGATGGGAAAGGGCATTCCAGAGGTGTCAGCTTGAGCAAAGGCCTGAAATGAGAGATAGTGGGGCCCCGGGAACGTCCAAAGAGTGCCTGTTAGGGCAGAGACGAAAGAGAGGAAAGTGTGGAGGCAAGCAAGGCCACTGAAGGGCCTGGTAAGTCATGTTTGGCTTCTAAAATTAAAAAATCTACACTTCCTAAAATTTCATAAGAAGTAACTGTCTCGCTACAGGATTGCGGTGGAATGCAAATGACACTGGATTTAAGCTTTTGCTGGTAACAGTCACGTTCCTCTGAACTGGCTGCTCCTTGAGGGCTGGGCCGTCTGCTTTGCTCACCACCCTGTCCCAGGGCCTGCAACGCTGCCTGGCAGAGCGGGAACTATAAGTTTACAGAGCCGGTACCTTCCTTCAGTCCTTTCCCCCAGTCCTCCCCTCCCCCTCAGTATAGCGGGAGAGGGGGAAGAGCGCCAACCCTTGCCTAGGCTTTTTTTTTTTTTTTTTTTTTTTTTTGGGGTACGCGGGCCTCCCA